GAAAACAATGAAGATGATTAAAAAGAGAGCAAGCACGAGAACTTTTGTCTTTTTCTGAGTTTGATATCTTGATCTCAGAAATTTCAATTTGAGGGACAAAATGTTTTCTTTTCATCGTGAAGAGGAAAAAAAAAGAGAAGAAGAAAAAAAAGAAAATGATGATAATGATAATTATAAAAGAAGATGATGATGATGATAATGAAAGAAGATTAAGAGGAAAGATTGATAAAAACCTGTAAATAAGTAGAATTTCATTCATCACGTATGTATCTATTTGGATTTGATCTTTGGTCACGAATATGCGCGACAATTCTATTCAGAAAAAAATGAGAAAAAAAAATATATATATATAATATAAATAACAAATAAATGATAGACACGCATACCAGGATCGGAACTGGCTGTCCTGGGGTCAGGTTATATTCTCTTTAATCCATGGTCTACAGTTTTGAAGACCGTCGAAAGGTGGTGAGGTCCCAGAACTGGATACGACCGTGCATAATGTAGTTCTTCAAAAGAGTATAGCTTCTTGTGAATTGTAGAAAGACACTTATACCTCTGAGAATAGCTGCGAACACATATCTCAATTCAGAATTCATTCTATCTAATGAGAATGAATAGAAATGGAAATATATAATATGGTGGCAAGTAAATTGTGGGCCCTCCTTTGATATTACATATAATTTCTAATTTTGCAGATCTTAAGGTAAATCAATTCTCAGATCAATTTCCTTTTTTCTTTTTTTTTTCTTTCTCAATAATTTATTCTTATTAGAATGTGAATAAAATAATAGTAGAATAAAATTTAAAAAAATTTGAATATTAAGATTTATACATCCATCTTTTAAATTAATATAGAAAATAATAATAAAATTTTATTTGTAATGTTTTATTTAGTTTGTTTAAAAGAAAATGAATTAAAACAGGGCCCGCTAAATCTGGCAAATTTAAATGCAAAGCTAATCAACGCTGTTCTACGCTTGATCGTTTCCATCCTTCATCGAGCAGGGGCATAATTAGATCATAGATTTTATCCTAAAGCTTTCATCGTCCTACATATCATATAGAAAAGAGAGATCCTTTGTTTCTATAATAGAAAAATGGGCCTATGAAGGAAATTCTTAAGATTCAATGAAATACATGATAAAGAAATGTTAAGAAAAAAGGAGAAAAAGAATTATATGAATAGAAATTTTAAACAAAAAAAGAAGAAAAAAAGGGCCTCTAGTATTTGATAGGAAAACGAACCACGTTTCGAAACAAACGAGTAACACGCTTTTTAGGTTTAGATGCAACTTCGACCTAGTTCTCAAAAATGTAACTAGAAAGCACTGTTTAATATGTATCCTAAAATTTTTTCCATTCCCTTAATTATCACAATTTATATTCTTACGTCTTAATATATTTAAAAATTTAACATTATTATTAATAATTTATATACATTTATAACATATCTGTTGAGATTGTTTCATGAAAACTTTTAATTTCATTTTGTATTTCTTTTTATCTTATTTTAAAAAAAAATTAATAATATTTAATTCATATTAAAGTAAAATATTACTATATCAATAATCTTAATAATGAAGAGATAATGAAGGGAAAAGATCTGATGCAGCTCATTGAATCATTCAGTTT